ATAAAAGTATTTAAAAGTAAAAATGAGAAACTAGTTCTACCTATATCTTATACATGATCTTGACTAATGTTGTCATGACTCATCCCTAATTTACTTAAATTATCCCTAATTTGCTTTTAGAGAATTGCAAGAAATCATATTGATGAACCTACTATATCACCGATCTGTTCAGGTTTTTCTAATCTTTATTAGTTTAAATTCTTCTAACTGTTGGAAAAATTGTATTAAATTTTCCATAAATGGTCTTTTTTTTTTATCTGAGTTTTGAGTGGGATCCACTTCCGATTTGGCTCGAGTCACAATGAATTCGGGTTTTCCTTGGTAAGGGGTTCGATTCGATATATGGTACACTCAAAATGGATAATGAGTGAAAGAGAAATGGATTCTCAAGGTTCACTCGTTGAAATGGAGAAACAAATAACGATTTAATTTCTTCTAATGATCTGTCATTGTTTCGAGCGTTGATTAACATTCTGAAACTTTATTACGTGTTTAATTGTGTGGTTAATGGTTTGTAACTTTCTAAGAACTACATGTTTAATACTCAGACTCCTCCTCCCCTATATATGCCTGCAGATTTTTGGAAGCTGCACTACACACAAAATGGAGAGAAAGCTCTCTAACTTTTTTTGATGCTAATACTTGTATTCAGGTAAACAAGGGTGCTAGCACTTTTAGGTACGGTTCTCAAACTGGTGTGAGTTTATGCCCATTTATCTCCTGCATGATGTATCCCTATTTCTTTGAGTAACCTTTCCATAAAAGATGCTATGTATAACAATGTGCTGATTCCACTAGTTTATAACTGCCTCCCCAAAATAAAATAAAGGAAACCAAAGTCCATTTTACTGACCATGATTATGCCTACATTTGGAAACCCAACCAGAATGACAAATTCAGTTTTTATGATTTGCTTACTATTCTTCTTACCGGACATTACCGGTTGGATGCAAGTAGTGAATTTTCTCAAAAACTCAGTCTCAACCATAGTATAAAACATAAATATTGTGCCAAATGTTTTTCACTTTTTTTGAAACTAGGACCCTTGCCCCTGCTGCCCTCCCCCAAAGCCACCCCTGAACAGAGTGCCTTACTCAAATGGAGGGCAAGGATTAAAATTCAGGCTTCATGATTCATGTAAAATATGAACCTACTCATCTTACACCATTGATTTGTTGATCTGAGGGCTCAAAATTGTTAGACACTCTCCTTGCCCGTCAAAGCAAGGCAAATGAGCCGGATCACATTTAGTATTTTCTGCTTCTATTAGATTTTGTCAATATTTTTTTAATTAAAAGTTGTATCACTTTCACTTTAAAGTAATGAATTAATGATTGATCTTGTTTCTTTTTATTCTACTGAAGTCTCAACTACACAATTTTTTACTTTTCTTGTTTCACACCCAACACAAAATTGTTAATGTTCAATGGGACGTATGTAATATATACTTCCTTCATTCTTTATTAATTGTATGTCTAGGTATTCCACGGTTTTTAAGAAGAAAATTGCAAGTGTAATACTCCGTATAAAGAGTAAGACAAAAAAAAAGTATAACAAAAGTGAGAGTATAGAAGTATTTTGATTGAAAAAATTACTAAAAAAAGGAGAAACAAATAAAAAAATCTTAGGAAAAGGAGTACGAGACAACTAATAAAGAAAGGAAAGATGTATTACTATCAAAAGAATTAGTAAGAGATAAGTAATTTGTAATTTAAAAAAGGAGTACATGTTTTTTGTATGCACATTTGACACACCTGTCTGTCTATGCAGACAAGATTGTTTGTATACAGATAACTCTGTAGGGCCCCACAAAGGTATTTTGTAATATAGACAACTATGTCGTCGTAAACAGACAAATATGCTAAAAGTGTACACAAAAAATGTGTACACCAAGCACGGTTCTTTGTAATTACCTATCAATCCCCGTGAAGGTTAATAAGTGGTAACATACTTGCCCAGCTGCCCTGAAAGAAGGGATTAATGTTTCATCTCATGGATATGCAACTAATAATAAGGTAATACCAAGGAAAAATCCATTTGATCTCTCCTACTAAAGTAAAATTTACCTTAGAAAATAGAAATATACTTTATTTGGCAATTGGCATTCCTAAATATCTATCACCCATTATACACCCGAATAAGGATCATATGAGAATATATTCTTAGGAGAGAAATAAGAATGATTCTAGAGCGTTGAATTTGGGTATTGTGCATCTTGGAAAACAAAAATGTGCATATAAAATTTTGAAAATGTGTACTTAATCTGTGCAAAAGTTTAATAGTAATGTGCACATTTAAATTTTGCATTATTTTAATTATAAATGTGCATTTTCGTGAATGATAAAGTGGATCGTGTTGGAGCGTTCTTACTTCTTACGTTAAAGAGTGCTCTCACCAGAAGTGCACCCTTATTCACCCAGGATTATAACAATTACTCTGTATAACATAAAAAATATTCATGCAACACATCAAATTATACGGAGTATATAGTACTCCCAACGTCACGTTAAGATTGACGTACTCAACTTTTTATTTCGGTCTGTGTCATTAATATTTTTCATGTCAAATTTAGTAATGTTCGTGTGATTCTAAATCATTCATACGTTGTTGAATTCAACATCAACCATATAAATTTACTATTCACAGTACTCGTACCACTTTCTCATGCCTCAATGTTGGTGAAATAATGAAAGTAATACTATTAGCTTATAAAATATTTTGAAACAAAACATTCAAATTTAGCTCAAAATGTTATGAAATTCTATTAAACACTACTCCATATTAGGATATTTTTACTTGGACTGTAATTTGTTGGTCTAGTCTGTTTAAATCTGGTTTGGTCTGAACTGTTCTGTTCTGGTTTGGTAAACGTATGGTCTCTCTGTGTATTTTATAACTACGGGAAGTCAAGTCTGGTCTGTTTAAATCTAGTCTGACCTGGGACTGAAAACAGTCCAAATAAAAACATATTTCTACAATTGCATTTCTAAAGAGTCAAATATTTTATGTTTTATGAGATTAGAATGTGTCAAAAAATACAATTGTTTATAAGGAGTAATTAATTGCTAAAACAACCAAACATTCCAGCTCAGTTGATTGTGAGGTTATCGTGCCTAGTGGGAGGTCTCAGGTTTGAATCCCGATAAACACACAAGGGTTTGAAACTCAATGGAGTGAATTCTAGCCCTAATTACTCCAGCCCCCAAGCCAGCTCCACCAAACCCCGTGGAGTAAAAAAAAATTACGGAGTAATTGCTAAAACTGATATCTTTTTTAAACAATCCACCAAAGAAACATTAATATTTTAGCACTTTTGTGAAATACATTTACTATACGTCTAAATCTGGAGTTAGGAATCTTGAAGGCGGAAAGCATGGATCGCACAGTCGTACAGCGCAACCCATCAGTTGGTTGTTGGATCGCCTAGCACGAAGGCCAGGGCAGGATGAAAGATTGTAGAAGCACCAAGAAGAAGCTTCATCGCTCCTCTACTTTATTAATGTAAAAGGCAAGCATCTCAAGAAATATGTCACACTTATGAAGCCAAAAGACCCAACATATGCCTCTGCTAAAGCCATCTATATATTCCTCTATTCTTATCATTTCTACACAAATCTATAACCAAAAGGAAGGGAAAAAGAGTGAGTGGTCTTGGAATAAAGAGGACTACATAGCCAAATCCCATAGTCTCCATTCCCTCAGAGATCATATTCCAATAGTGTTTTTCCCTGTTTAGTGGGATAATGTAAAAATAAGTTAAATAACACATCATGATGCACATATGTTAAAATATTTGGAGTAATTATGTTTTTAATTGGACAAAAAAATTATGGTCTGATATATTGTGTTCAGGTCTAATCGGATATATGTCTGTTCTATGTGTATTTTATAATTGTCGATGTCTGGTGTGGTTTTGTTTGTTTAAATCTAATTTTGTCTGACTGGATCTGATATGATCGTGGCTTGAAAGTTGAAACTAGTTGATCAATTAAAAACATTTAGATCATACATTTATGCCTACTTTTGATTTTTTGGAGAACGATCACCCCTGTTTCTCCTTAGCTTTTCTTTTCATCGACGGGATTTATGCAACCAATCGACGTGATCACCCCTGCAATTTAAAAAATATGTCAAGTCTCACAATGTTATAATTATTCATGCACAAAACCTCCTCCAAGAACAAATTCAACAAATTAGAAATCACTTTTTTTAATAACATGATTGAATATGCAAGAAACTTTGTAAAGATATCTAAATTATACAAAATATTAATCATTTTTCCTTTATTGGGAAATTAAATTTATTCATAGAGAGGTTGGATTTTGCACATGATTAATTATAATACCAGTGAGTTTGATGCATTTTTTTTATTTATGCTCATTATCCACCCGCCGCCGTATTCCTTTCCTTATTAATTCTTGAACTGCTAAAATAATCCTCCGGATAAAGGAAGTGTTCCTTCCCAAATTAGCTTCTAAAAACAAGAATCACAAGTTTGTTTACCCAACATTGTATTTTTAAATTCTCGTAAACACCTATATCTCAACCCATCTTTACTCTTGGGTACACAAAGTGCCTTACCAGCAAATCTCTTGATCACATTTTTCTTGTCATTCATAAGTTTTTCAATCTCTGCGCACAAATATAACAGTAGTAACAAAAATAGGTGAGACGTTCTCGGTGCCCCTTAGTCACCGCCACCCCGTGAATCCTTCCAATCGCCTCGTTGCTCCTAATCCGCATATTGAGGCCCTCCGCAATTAATTCAAATGAATACAAGGATAACGGATCTCCCTGTCGGAGGCCCCTTTATGTACAACTAGTATTTTAACCCGTGCGTTGCACGGGAGTGAAAAGTTCATTTTAATTTATTTGATATTAATATATTCCCCCACCCAGCATGCATGGTCCAAAACATTAATTTATATTATTTTATACTAATTTAACTAATTTCCTAAACGAATGCATAAGATTTGTCTTTTGATTTGAAATAAAAAGCTCTCAATTTTATTCAAGACAAAAAGTAATATTACAAATTGGTAAAGACCTCTTTGTACACAACATTTAATGTGGAGTTTGTCGGTCTACCATTATCGTCACATATCAAAAACTTCAAACCAGCTGGACTCGTGACTCTTGATACAGCAACATAAAGCTGCCCATGGGTGAAAACCGGTCGCCGTAAGAATATCCCCACATTTTCCAATGACTGGCCCTGACTCTTATTTATAGTCATAGCATAACTAACCATCAGAGGGAATTGTCTGCGCTGAAAGGTGAATGGCAGTCTGACATCAGAAGGAGTCAAGGTAAGACGGGGAATGAAATGTTTTTGGCCGGCAGTTGGCCCTGACAACATTTGGGCCTCAATAACATGCTTTCCAAGTCGGGTCACTAAAAGTCGAGTGCCATTACACAAACCCAATGATTGATCAAGATTCCTCATAAGCATCACAGGGGCACCCACTTTTAATTTGAGCTCATGGCTAGGTACTCCGGAACATTTGATTCCATAAAGGAATTCTGGAGAATGGATCTCTTGCAACAAACTACTATCAGAATCAGATAATGATGCAGAATCGGAGCTGAAATATGTCTTCATCTCTGATGGTAGTTGTGCGAGCATGTAATCATTAACCTTGTCCACCTCGTCAACTGTTGGCGCAAGTATTGCTCTTGACATTAAATATGATGGTGATGTGCATTGTTCTAAGAAATTGGGATATGTACTCTGGACAATAGAAGTAACTGGATCAGAAATCCAAGGCACGAGGAATTCTTCAGGTATGTCAATATATGATTCTCCATCCTGTCGGAGGCCCCTTTATGTACAATTGGTATGACATTAGCACCATCAACAAGGATTAAATTTTCCACAGTTTGAACATACTCCCGAATCAAGTGATCGAATCCATTTTGGTGCAAAACTCATCACTTTTATAATTTCAAATAAAAAACCTCATTCTATCCCATCATAATCTTTGCTCATATTTAGCTTTGGAACTGTAAATTCCTCCTTACCTTTAATTTTCCGTTTAAGAAATGGTGGTCTCAAACGCAATTGTTATGTTATCGATATTAGATCTCCCCAGATTAATAGGACTTTGATTATTGGAGACTAATCTATCCAGGCACTCCCTTTAATTGATTAGCCAACCATCGCTTTATCCGGATGCATTGATAATACATCGTTTTACTTCCATTATCGCAATCGATCTAAGTAAAGATCTAAGTTATGAAAATCATGAATTAATCATTCAACCATTAAGTCATGTTTACTTAAAACTTAATTGAAAGTGTGATTTAATCATTCAGTCAAAAATTAACTTAACCATTAAGATGGAGAATAACAGCCGTTCCCATTAAGACATCCATTAAGACGTTTTTTCTGCCAATTTTTTCAAATTGACTGTGGACTAGATTTATATTAATAAATGAAATTTTTCATTGAAATTATAATTTAAGAACAATACTAAACTGATTATTTTATTCGATTCAGACCGGCCTGTTTATTCAACAACAAAATGAACAAGTTCATATACAAATACTTCGTATCAATCATTTAATCCAGACATACATCTGAATTCAAACATACCTTTTAATTAAGACAGAGCTTAATTGATATGTTCCTTTCAGAGCTAGTTCTCAATTCTGTCTTGGGAGTCGTCGACAATAAACTAATTATTGCAATCCTAAATTCCTGATTGTGGTAAATAGGGGTGGGCATTTCGGTTTTCGGTTCGGTTTTATTCGGTTTCGGTTTAATCGGTTTGATAGAAAATGTACCAAATACAAACCGATTAAATTTCGGTTTGGTTTCGGTTTGGTATGGTTCGGTTCGGTTTGGAGTTCGGTTTACCAAAGTATTAAACTTTGGATTAATATAAAAAATTAACTCAAAATAATGAATCAAGAAGCGATAGTAATGAACCAAATATAATGTTAGATATAAATTTACAAACAGTAACAAAACACATGTGAACCAAAAATATAAAAGTATGACACATTTGTAAGCAACAACAACAACGAGAATGAATCAAATTATATATAAAGCCGAAACAAAAACAAAACTGGTGCTTGTAAGTAATAAACCAAATATATAGTAGTAGTAGTAGTAGATAATAAATTATAGTTAAATACTATCTACTTAAACCACTATAATTGTTATAGTTGTGAATGTAACTCTTGTAGTAAACTCTAATCCTGGACACTAAAATTAAAGAATTAAAGCTTCAAAAAGATTAACATCAATCAAATTAATGAGAAAATCTTATATTTTGATTTGGTTTGGTTTGGTGTAAGTTGGTTTTGATTTGTTATTTTAAAAAAATAAGAAATTATTTCATTTTTAGATTAGTTCGGTTTTATTCGGTTTTATTCGGTTTTATGATTTTGGTTCGGTTTGGTTCGGTTTAATACGGGTTGAGAGGAATACTACCAAACTCAAACCAAATTACAAATGGTTCGGTTTCGGTTTGGTTTAATTCGGTTTGGTACGGTTCGGTTCGGTCAAACCAAACCGTTATGCCCACCCCTAGTGGTAAAAGAAAGTAGAGAATTAAATAAATCACTCCCATAGTCCCATTGGGATTAGCCCTCCCAAATCGAAAGCATTTTCTCTTAATCTTTTCAATTAATTTGCCAAATACCTAGATTCAGTTGGTCTTGTGTGACTTATTTTTGCCACTGTCCCTCAATTTAGCTGTAAATCTGTAATTTCCGATGTGCAAAAAAAGTTAATCATGCATGCTCAAGTTGGTATGAACAGGGGCGGACCCAGTGGCGGAGTCAGAGGTTTGTCCAAAGAGGGGCAAACCAAAGACTAAAAATTTTAAAGTTCGTGTCCAAAATATAATAAGAACAACAATAGCGTAATAATTTAACAAAAAATTATAGTTCATTACATACTACTTGATTTACTTCTGCAACCTAGGCAAATCAATCCTACGAGTTTTCATATTTTGAAAATGCTGCATAATAGCTTCATTATCAATTGCTTGAAAAATGTCTCTTTCGATGTAGCATACTAAGCAATCCGTAAGATAGTCATCTCCCATCTTATTGTGAAGATCTGTCTTGATAATATTCATCGATGAGAAAGCTCTTTCAACTGTGGCTTTCTGTTCGGCCTCTCTTGTCCCTCTCATTTCTCTCATCTCTAGCAATATTTTCATTTGACGCAGTGGCATTTTCAACACTAGAGATAGACTGATTAAGAACAATTGAAGAACTAACACCTCCAATCAAAGACCTCTTAGTCTTAATTACAAATTTATCCAAACTCATACTCCTAAATATAACAAAAATAAGTATGAATTAAAAATGTTCCTTATACAAATAGCATTAAATTGCATCTAGAACTGAGATTTGAGGATTCACACAAATAATTTCTGACTTTTCGTTAGGGATGAGAGCAAATAATTAATATGGGCATAAATTGGCAGATGAGAAACTTACTTGAAAATTGCAGAATCTGAGAACAAATGGGGAGAAGTGAGAACTAGGGCTGGATTCGGTTCGGGAACCGAACCGAAATAGGAAATATCCGAACCGAACCGATCTTTCGGTTTCGTATATTCTATAACCCAAAACCGAACCGATCTAAGTTGGGACCCAATTTTTCGGACACCGAATTTTCGGTCCGGTTATTCGGTTTTTTCACAAAAACCGAATGGGTATTCAATATTTGTTTATATTGTAGCTAATACTTGCACTCAAGCTTTACTAGCAACTTAATCTTTATCAACTATGAAGGAGCGATTATATAGGCTCAAATGAGGAGTGAATCCTCTATTTCATCCGGTGTGGGACGAGTTGTAGGCTGAAGAAAATAAAATTGGAAGAATTGGGGCGGAAGAAAAGCAAAACAAGTTTAACTTAATCCGTCCTGGGGGGGATTCGAACACGGGTGATACGAAGGGAGCGTGTTACCTGTCTCCACTGAACTACTCCGGATTATTGGCAAATTGGGATGCCAAATGTATTACATACATTAATCCCCTTTTATTCTATATTTCATTTTTTTTTTACTTTTTCTGAAAATACTTTTTTATTTATTTTAACACTTCATCTTAAAATAACCTTAAGTTGTACTTATTGTTTTTAAAATTAAAAAAGAAGCCGGGCAAGAAACATATTATAAGTAATACTAGTAAAAAAAATTAGTCGGAGCGGGGGCGCTTGCCCCCCCTTGCCCCCCCTAGCTCCTCCACTGGGCGGACCGTAGTAGAGACCTAGGGGTTACCGCCTCCCAACAATTTTTTTAGTGTATATGTATACGAAAAATAATTTTTGCTCTCTCAAAAAGTATTTTGAACCTTCCCCAAAAATATTTTCGTCCCCAAGATGACTTTACTGGATCCGTCTCTGGGTATGAGTAGTACGACAACTCGTGCAGTTATTTTATTTTACCTTTACAAAGTCCAAATTCACGTCCTAGATATATAGACTATAATAATAAATCATGATGATCTTCTAGGTATTTAGGTATATATCGTTAGTATTTAGTTGTAAAATTTATTAATATCAATTATCATCCGTGTAACAAACCTTATCCCTTATCCCTTAGGCTCGTAGAGATAACCAGAACTCTACTTTGCATCTTATTCATAGACATGCAATCTCTTGTAAATTATTGTTGGCTATACACATTACTTACATGGCATTACAGTGACCTTACATGGAATAATTTCACGCCAAACCTTTTTTTATTCGACTTTTTGACAATTCTATGCCCTATTCCAGACACGTGATTCTATGCCCTATCACATAGTGGTGGACTTGGTCTAGTATCCCACACCCATCAGGACCAAAACTGAAAAAACAGTGCGGGTAGGAGACCGGCACGGCACCCGTATCCCACAGGCTCCGATCTTCAATGTTAAAACGTTAGCTGCATACGTGACATGAGAGATAACCAATGAAAAAACAATAAATAGAATATTTTTCTCCTTATTTGAAGGATCTTATATCATTTTGATAAGTTTTTATTCACAATGTCAAACATAATGTCTAGATGTAGACATTGTGGTTGACATTGCAGGGAAAAACTTACAAAAAACACATAAGATCGTGGAAAGACGGAGAGATAAATGTCATAAAATCAATCTTTTGTGTCTATCTCTCTCATGTCATATGTGCTCCGTGCACATTGTAGCATTGGAGATGCTCTAATAGGGTTATTTCCTGAATATTACTTCCCCATTCTGTTTTAATTGCAACAAAATCCTCATGTCACACCTCAACCCTTAGAGAAATCATTCTTGAATGTTCCTCTATAACCCAATAGCACAAAGATATAACGATAAAACAACAAAGAAGATAAGCGCTTAATGAACTATCACTCGATCTCTTGTCTAAGGCATTCTTGTTTGTCTGGCTCTCCTTTACGAGTGATTTTTCTGTCTCTCTCAAAAACATACATCTTTCATATCCGAGCTTGGATATTTATACTGATATCTAGGAGCCAAAATATCATTTATTTTATCTTTCCTTTTAAAGATTGATTCTTCTCTTTGTGTCCGGATCCCCTTAAATGTGCTAGAGCATGACTTGGTACATATCTTTTAGGGCATGATGTGTTTCCTTTTAAGTGTAAAAGACCATAAACATAACAAAGAGTACACAAGCTCTGTAAATGCTTGTATTGTTAATCCTTAACTCTCCAAATAGTTATGATAGTAAACTATAATAACAAAACCAATGGAAACAAATACTCCCTCCCCTTAACTTTGTCCTGTTTTACCTTTTTCATCATTTCCACTAAGTTTGTCCCGTACCATATTTGGTAATATTTGAGTGGTTCCAATTCCTTCTTACTTTATTCACACTTTATCAATTCAATACCAACCACACAATTACAATTTTTATTAAAAGTTGTGTCACACTCTCGTGTTCCAAATATAGTGGGACAGAAGTAGTAATACAATAGTCATTGCAATAATATTAATACAAATAATATCTTTAAGAATTATTCAGATTAGATTTGAAATATTCTGGACACATTAATGGTATTGAAATTGTATCCAGAAAATTTTCATAAAAATACTACGTATAAATATTAGAGCATCCTCAATGGGGTGTATTGAAGTATATTTTAAGTGACATATGAGAGATAGAGATTAGTGGTTTGTATTGAAGTATATTCTATGTGGCATATGAGATATAGAGATAGGATGATTATTTTAATTTAATATAGAAAAAATTGTGTGTAGGGGAAATGAAAAAAATGAGAGGGTTGGAAATAAATTATAGATGATGTCTATGACAATGTGCACACATCGACTTTGCACGGGATTATATTCGAGGAGTAAAAATAGATGAAAAGTGGATTAAAGATGATATAAGAAAATAACAATTAAAATATATATGAAGATATGTAAGAGATAAAAAGGATTTGACCCGCGTGTAAGAGTTTGTAAGAGTTTGTAAAAGTTGACCCGCGTGTAAGAGTTTGTAAGAGACTACACACTCCATTGTAGATTTGGAGATGCTCTTATCAAATTAGATTAAAAATACTTGATTCACATAAAAAGGATTTGAAATAGATCAGATTAAAAATAAATCAACACCGAAACATATTATTTCAGAAGGCTTAAATATATATTTTTAATCCCTTCAAATATGACATATTTTGTTTTATAATTTTTTGAGACTATATGAGAGTTAAAATAATGCAAAACTAATTATTCCAATTTTAAAAATATGTATTAAAAAATCTCTAAGAAATAAAGTTAAATACTTTTTTAATAACGTAACATGGCAAAGAATTAGAGGAAACATATTAATCGGGATTGGTTTTTGTCAAACATGAGTTTTTATCTTCCATGATGGACTAAAAAGAAAAGTTACAAAAATTTCAAAGATGAAAAACAAATGCAAGGATAGATGTAAAACTAAGAGCTCATTTGGTAGCTCTATTTTTCGGCTTATCAACCGATCTTTTTATCAAACACGTAAAATTTGATTTCCCGTGTTGAATTGTTTAATAATAAGAAAATGTAAGGTTGAACTTACTTTTCTGACTACATGGACTGAAGTTACTATAGAGTATCATTTAGCTATTTTTCATATGATTTTTCTTTATTTTAATAATATTATATATTTTAAATATTTTTTCATAAATTAACACAATAGCTCATCCAGTCAGTCATAACAACAAACGGCTCTAATGCAAGAAATCTAGGTCTGCAAGATTGGAGATGGGATTGGAGATAAGGCTTGCGTTGTTTCTATGTGGTTTTCTCCCAAGCTTTTATCTAGGGTTTGTTTTTTCGGCAGGCGACTTGTGCCGTTTCTTTGTTTGACAAATGATTTAGAGCAACCGTGGGAGGACGACTGTTACCACGCTATGCCTCTCCATGATTTTCTTCTCTATGGTTTATGCTTCTGGTCATGCAGATATAGATTGAATCTGGAGGTCCGTGATTGGTACTTTCGACTGGAAAATCGCCTGGTCAGTTCCACCTAACTTGATCGTCAGAAGGGGGCGATTGGCACTGTGTTGAATTGGGTACATGAGACAAATGGATGGGACGACTAAATTGGGTCCTCTCTGGATGGATTTCATTGCAGGGTGGAGGCGATTGGGGTGCTCGAATGAGGTGATTTATGGATATGATCGAGTCCTAAGCAAGGGAAATGACATATTGATTGTCCGCTCCCCTCCCGAACTACTGCCTTGGAGCGATCCGGATACTAGGGTTTGGAAGGTGATACTTCAAGAATACTGGCAGGAAGGAGCTTAGAGTGTTTTTCATTTATTTTATTTTTTGTGGTCTTACTTTCGCGTTATTTTTGTTTATGTTACTGTTTTTTTATGTTTTTAGGTCAACAATAATGATTGACAATTCTGATGGATATTATGTCATTAGAAGAATCTATAAGGCCAGTGATTGACGTGTCCCACCCGTTTAATTTGTGGTTAGCGATTCGTATTGTTCTTTCAGGTGTGATTGTTTCTAAATCTAATCGTAGGGTTCATAGTGCTAGTTCGTTACAAATAGTAATTGTCAGTTGGTCTTTTTGAGTTTGTTGTAACGATATGAATTCTAATGATATTAATATAAGTAGTTTTTCCTTTTAAAAAACAAACTGCTCCAAATGTACTATATTTGAACGAACCAACCAATTTTAAAAGTAAGGCAACAAAAATTCATATCAAATGAACCAAAAGCTTCACCAATTCTTGACCGATCCAACGCAGAAGGATCGCATCAATGTATCAGCCTTTCTCTTGATGAGCGGTGAGAATCTTCCCAATTACAAAAGAAATAATTTTAGATAGAAATGGTCAAAACATGATAAATACTCGTGGGATCGTGCCCCAACGTAGTATATATGTAACACTCGATCAACATGACAATTGATTAGTAAAAAACATCGAATTAAAACTAGAAGTAATTCTAAATTAATATATAATCAAAATAAATGTAATGGACAAAATCGTTATTCTAGTAACTTTAATGATTATAATTGTATTCAAATGTTACATCGCAATGATTAAAAGATTTACTCATAGTAACTTATAGTCATATTTTTGTACAAAAACTATATTAGTAATATTTTAGGAAAAAGCTCTTAAAACTATTATATTGCTTCAAATTTTTTAATGAAGAAAGATTGTTTTGTGTTATGAGGAGGATTTGCAAGTGTATGTTGTAAAAGTTTCATAAGAAAAGATGCCGGAAAGAAACAAGAAACCACACACAATAAACCGCAAATATGAACAAATGGCATCAAATAATGATATTAAGTTTAAATAGTTCCATCAAGTCTGTTTAAAATAGTCTAATCTGATCCAATTCGATCCAATTCGACTTAATTTGTTGAAGTTTAATTTGATCCAATGTTGCCTTCTTTAGACCAATATAAAAAAGTCTAACAACAAAAATGAGAAATTGATGATAACCCCTTGGAACAACTTGTTACTCTGTATATCACATTATCACTGCTTTGATAATTGAGACCTTGTTTGGTGAACCCTATTTTTGGCTTATCAGTCTTGTGAGTCAAATTTTTCATCAAATACGTGAATATGAATTTTGCTCACCAAACTTTGTAATAATCAAAGTGCGTAAGGTTAAAGTCACGAACTTATGTACCTTAAGTTACTACGTCTTATATAAAGAACAATTTTGATTTTCTTTACGTCTTATAGCTTTTCTTTAATTTATTAGGTAGCATATATTAGAATCATCATTTAATTGATATATTAAAGTTGCTACCGATTTAGTTTAAAAAGACCTCTAGTATTGATTTAAATAGACCACATAATTCATGCGCACTCAAATAACTCTACAATATAATTAATGAATCTCATATGAAGTATATACATTAGAAAGATTTGTTTATTTACTCCCATATCTTTAATTTGCATGTATGTGTAGTTTACTACTCCCTCAGTCCCGGAATTATCTTCGTACTTTTCTTTTCGATTTGTCCCAAATTTATCTCTTCTTTCCCTTTTAGCAAAGAATTTGTGGTTCACAACCATTCTTATACATTCTTACACATTTCTCTTTCCTCTGCACAACTCTCCACCACACATTTCCCACTATCTTAATCTGTGTGTCATTTGTACTTCAGGAGATAAATATGGGACGAAGGGAGTATTACTCTCGCAGTTTGAATTACTTACATTTCAAGTCCTGTATAATTAGTTACTTTGCTCATTTTAATAAATACTTCTTAATCGGAAAAAGGAAAATTCAGCAATCATTAAACTGAAAAAGTCACTGCACCGCCGGCGTGAACTAATTTTCAGCCAAAAATCGTACGTAGTACATTCCAATGACAAAATACTTGATATGGAAAATTCTTTGGTAATATAATACGGAGTACTCGGGTAAGACCTAATAATATTTGCAACATTAATCTTAGATACATAATTAATAAAATTACATAAAAATAAAATTACATAAATAAATCTAGAATTTCCTCCCTCCATCGTGCTAAGATTGTCTCATATTAGTGGGACGAGACCAAGGTAGTATATAACAGGGAGTATATTTCTATGAAGAGCATGATGGCATAACATTGATTCTGATAACATCCAAATTGGTCTGCAGCCTTGCCGGCCAGGATCGGAGCATCTACGTACGAGCAAGTAAAGTGTTAATCTAAAGTGCATGACATGAATGAATAGAATTAATTAATCAGATCATATCATCAAAAGAAATTCCATAGAAGTGCTTTAAGTTAAACTTGATTCCACACCCCACTTTAAATTAAAAATTTATAATCAAACAACATAAGTCAAAAGAGAATCGAGGAATAATTGTACAAATGTACAATGTAATTAATTAGTTCCCCACAATACCCCATCCATACATCCAAGTAACATACACAGTTTTCCACACCCCACATTACATTATGTTCTAATAATTTATAATCATAATTCATAAAAAGAAAACCCCAAAATTCCCAAAAGAAGAAGAAGAAGAAACTAAAAACTAGTAGCTTAGGTAGCTAAGCTAGCTCATACACTTCTAGCCAGCATTTCTTGAAATCTTCTATAGGACTCAACCTTCTCCAACCTGAACCTCTCATGAGAGCTAGCAATGAACATATCAGCAAGCCGATCAATATCACCATTTCCATTACTTCCCTTCTCTTCGAGCCACCTGAGGTAGCCCGAAAGCTCCGCCTCTTCCACGTGGTCATCGCTCGCGGTGGATACGAAAGAGTTCCACGTGGAGTCGAAGTACACGTGGTCGGTCAATTCCGGCCCCGCGGGCACCACGTGGGACGAACACCAATTGTAGTGGAGCCTAAAGGAGCCAAGAAATAGCTTCTTCTTCTTCCTGATCTTGTTGATCTTGTTTCTCTTTTTCATGTGAACCACTTGGATGTCTTTTAGAAGTTGGGAGAGAAGGGATTTCGCTTTCGCCACGGCTCGGGCAATGCGGTAAAGATGGGAGAAGATGAAGGTTTGGAGTAGGGCTTTGAGCTTCATCAAGCTTAAGGTTGAAGGAGAGGAGATTTGTTGCTTGAGGGAGAAAATGTGAGTGTTATAAGGCCTAGACGACATTTTTTCTCTTTTGTCGTGGTGAGATTGATAAATAATGGCGACTTGGGAATTGGGATATATATATATGTACAAAGAATGTGTGTGATTACCAATTTGCCACTGATAAGTTGAGGGAATTTGGAAATAGTGAAAGTAACTATATATGCTTCGTGTAAATTTTCAAACGGATAGACATAAGTTTTTCTTTCTCCTGTCTATATTTAATTAATTTACCCACAATGTGCCACATCAGATTAATCACAAGGGTTATTCCTACTTTCCATGGTCTAGCTAGCTTCGTTGACTCCCCCATTCTTACCTTTTTTTAATAATAACCGACATAACCTCTCAGGAGATAAACTCTTGTATATGTAACTATTTAAAAAAAACCTTAACTTTGTTTACTTGGAGTGATTAGACAGACTAGAACACACTAGATCAGATCAAACTTAAATAATTACAAAATACACACAATTAGACATTTACTATACCAGACCAGATCGGATCCGACAGTCCAATTAATAACACCCTTAATTGACGACATCTTACAAATAAGTTGATAATTAAAAAAATCCATAGATTATTTTGGTTACTAAAATGAAGAAAAATATCAATTCAAGACTACTTTTTGTTGTTGGCATTTTTCTGAAAAACATAAATTAAAGAAGATAGACATATATTTGTCGTGGTTCATCAAAGTTATATTTATAATTACATACTCCGTATATGAAAACAACAGAGACAAAGAGGATATTGTTTAGGAGACTAAACCAAACTTTGGATATTACAAGTATACTTGGATATATTGTCAATTTATTTGGACAATTCAACATAGTCAGACTTTTCAAAGTTTCAATCATAAACTACTACGAGCAAATATAGAGCCCGTTTGGTAGCACGAAAATCGGCTGATTTGACTGATTCTGCTGAAATTTATGAAGTTTTGTATGAAAAGATTGCATTGGCTGATTCTGGTGGTTTAAGAAAAAAATAATTTTAAAATATATTTTATTAATAAAATAAAGAAAAAAATTTATGTAAAAATAGCTAAAGTGGTCATCTACAGTAACTTCAGCCAATACAGCCGGAAAAGTAACTCCAACCTTACTTTTTCTGCTTATTACACAATTCAGTGCGCGAAAGCAAAAATTACATGTTTAGTGTAAAGTTGGCTGATAAATCTGATAAGCTGAAAAACAGTGTTGCCAAACGGGCATCATACTTTTATGATCGATTACTAAGGATATATAGTGGTTACTAGTTAGCAAGACCGAAATTGGATATAATGTTTGAGTGAGTGTTTTATATATTGGGTCAGGCAAAATGATTTTCTTTTGGACGATAAAAGGGCGGGTCACCCGCTAAAATGTTTTTGAACGCCTGTATATAAGTTCGTGACAGTGGAAAACATTCAAAACATTGAAAAGGGTCAAAGTGGTCCACCCTGCCTATAATCTTACAAACAAAGATACTGCACATAAAAGCGTACGTAAAAACATATTATCCCTCTCTGTTTATGAATCATGAAATCAAATCATAAAAAAGTGATAAGCCTAGCAAATAACAATTTAAATTAATGAAACATAATTAATTAATTGATTCATTTGCCTGTCAAAGTATGAGAATTACTGTTTACTTACCGCCTAGCAAATACAATGTAACAATGATTGTTTATAGCTAATATGGCGCCCAATTGAATCATATGTAGATCTATTATGGGTATTGGGATACATATCTTCAAGCATTTTGCTTGCAATCCATCTGTAAAATATATGGCACATGGCAATAATTGTTAGTGAGTGCACTTTAGTGTACACAATTAACCTAATTGATTTAAGTTCACCTACACAACCTTTTAGAGATAATTGTCCGTCTCTTAACATTTTGTCAATTTTTTATTTTTGGATGTTCAATTAATTTTGTCACTTTCTCTTTTTAAGTAAAGAATTTGGGATTCTAATTAATTATCTCTTTTCTGGACAAACCTCTACACACGATTTTTACTTTATTAATTCTCGTGGCGGTCAAACTTCGTAAAGTTTTAAGGGACGCGGGGAAGTATTTTTATGATGTTGTCGAGTGATAATGAAGACATGACAAGTTTAAGTTTTGAGAACGCTTTTTTGTCAAAATGATAAGAGAACGTTTACCCCTTATACATCGTTAGTTGTGGTGGAACCCTTCCCCGACCCTCTTGATCTTGTATGGACGCCAACATGGACATAGTCATAGCACTGGGACAGACTGAATCGCGCGATGCAAAGAATATTTTGAATAAAATTTTTACATACTCCCTCCGTGTCATTAGAATGTTCCCGTCTACTATTATCATGATCAACTTAAATCATTTTTAATCTTTTACTTTATAAATAAAGTTTTTACCAAATTTACATTTTTAATAAGGCTTTGTAGCAGTTTTATTTACTACAAATAATGAGAGTGTGAACAGGGATTAAGTTGCTTTATCGTCAGTCAAACATCGTAAACCGTTCACGGGAACCTTCTAGCGTGGTGGAGGGAGTATAAGTTTTACACTACAAATTAAGGTATTTTTAAAATTTGAGGTGAATCATGGTCTAGATCGGCTGTTGTCTAACTCCGCCTGTGGACGTCAATGTGCATTGGATTACGAGGATGCCCTTTTTATCAATATATAAAAATTATAAAGAATTTGAGTTAACTATGTGGGACTATAAGTTTCCTTGGAAGAAATAGTCGTAATGTGTTATCTTAAAATTTACTATAAACTGAAATAACAACTGTGCATGATATCTTGAATCACACAATTGTATCTTATTGTGCATCATCACTAACTTTACACACACCTAACACAAACAGAAAAAGGTGTGCTTTTCATTAAAAATACATATTCTCTTTATTCTAAAAATAAAATTTGTAATTATATTCCTTTTTAGATTTGTTATTAAAAGTATAATTATTATTAAGTATTTCTTTTTAAAACTAACATTATAATCTTGGGGTTATTTTCTCTCATTTCCATGTCAACATTAAACCACAATTCAATTTTGAATTTGTATGCCAAAAATAAATGAAACTTTTATCGTTGCACGTATAAATAATTAAATGTAATTAGCTAGTAGTAGTAGACAAAATGAAATTAAACAAAAATGAATATGGATACATCGTAAAATGGAGACTAATTAATAATTAAGGTCCAATTTCTTTTTTCTTTTTGGTGAAAAAAGGTCCAATTTCAATCATATGGGGTGATGCATATTTGTGATCTGTGTGAGGTAGAAGTGAGAGATAGAAAGAAAATAGAAAATAAAGAAGATTGCCGTTTTTATAGTGTGAAAATAATTGAGATGTAGAAAAATAAAAGTGATAGACATATTTGGTTATCTTTGGACAAAGTCCATTTGTGAATCTTATGCATGACTCAAGAATAAACAGACTGAGAGTAGACTTTACGTGAGAAAAATGAAACGGACCTTAGACTCTTAGAGCATGAGAGATAATTAAGGATTTATGAGATAGCAGCATTAGTGTATTATGTGTATATATATGTAAATATATTGGCATTTTATTTGGTGCAAATATCATATAAAGTGTAATAATAAGTTAATTACAAGTTTGAAAAAATGCATCGAATTCAAAGTTTAAGTATTGTTTTTTAATTTAATGTTAAGATGAGATCTTGACATATACTCCTTAATTGATAATAAAATACTTAGTAAATTATAAGAGAAATGGTGCTAAATAGGAGCTTAACTTCCCTTATGTAATTAAATAAGACCTTGATTTTTTTAACTTCTAAATAAGACCAAATTCTTCCGTGTTTCCAAAATTGCCCCTGTTTTCCCGTCTAGCCTTTTCCTAACGCATCACAGCTATCTCTCGGCAATAGCCTCGCCTAATCATCTCTCTCCTTCCTCCACATCTAAGCAAGGCAGAGCACCGTCAAAATAATGGAGGTGCTGAGCTAAAATGGTGTTGCCGCGGTGCGGTAGTATTTTTGGTGCAGCGGTGTGGAGGTGCGACGATGCGGTGGTGCGGCTGAAGGCCCTGCTGCGTAACCTGCGTTCTCTCTTCTCCTCTCCTCCTCCTCCTCCTCCTTCTTATTCTTCCTCCCCCTCCTCTTCTTCTTCTTTTTCTCCTTCTCTTCTACTTCTCTTCTTCTCTTTTAGATTTGGGACCGATTTTCCTACTAGGTGGATTCATTTCAAAATTGTGACATTGTTTTTAGTATTGATAAATGATATCAACATTGTCAAACTATTTGATAGTGCTCTGTACATACGAACAAACTGAAAGCAAATAAATAAGGAATGTATTTTATTGTCATTGACATTCTCGTATGACATTCTTATGACATTGTCATTAACATTCTTATGACATTGTCATTGACATTGTTTTTTATTGACATTCTTATGATATTGTCATTGACATTTTTATGACATTGTCATTGACATTCTTATGACATTGTCATTAACATTCTTATGACATTGTCATTGACATTGTTTCTTATTAACATTCTTATGACATTGTCATTGACATTCTTATGACATTATCATTGATATTGTTTTTTATTGACATTGCTACAACATTGACATTGTTAAGACATTGACATTGTTAAGACATTCTGATGATTTTCACTTTATTTTGATAATATTTAAAGTATAGTGACATACATAGTGTCATTATTTCACCATTTTAACATGTTTTGACGTAGCACTGTAGCAGGACATAAAGAAACTGAAAAAGAAGAAAGGTATGTTTTTGCGTAGAAGATATGTTGAAAGAAACTAAATTGATCGGAATTTCGCTCGAAATCGTTCGGAATTGGTTTGAATGACATTGCAGCCTGATATTAATTTCGACGAATGAGTCTTTGAGCTTCGCCAATGTAATTCGAGCTTCGACGAATGAGTCTCTGAAATTGATGAAGAAAATCGATTGGAGCTTTTTGTTGAAGATTATCCGAGCTTCGACAGCCATTGGAATGGGTTGAAGACAACTGAAGCTCTCGGTGTTCTGCGAAATCGGTGGATCGCGATTGAGTGAGGGGGTTGGGGTTATTTTTGTCCGTC